TTCTGTTCTTCTCTTTCTTTTTCTTTTCTTTTCTTTTTTTCTTTTTTTTTGTCTGTCATTTGGCTTGAACTCTGGGCCTAGGCGCTGTCCCTTAGCTCTTCAGCTAGAGGCAAATGCTCTACCACTTGAGCTACAGTGCCACTTTCAGTTTTCTGGTGGTTTATTGGAGATAGGAGTCTCACAGTCTTTCCTGCCCGGGCTGGTTTTGAACTATGATGCTCAGATCTCAGTCTCCTGAGTAGCTAGGATTACAGGCGTCAGTCACTGGCGCCTGGCTAGTTATATACTTATTTTTTACCTCCCTTCATCAAAACTGTGTAATAAATACATAAACAAATTGGGTTTATTATATAAGAAGTAGGAGCGGGCGCTGGTGGCTTACGCCTGTAATCATCAGTCCTGTATTACTATTAGTTGTGTTTAAATAGTTGCATGATCTGTTTTATTTTCCTGATCTTAATTTTGTGAAAATCTGCCTCTTCCAAAGCAAATGATAGACAAAAAGTAATACAATAATGTACTTAACTGCAGGGATGATGTGAAAAATTTAGGTTTGTTGATAGGTGGCATGGGTGTTGGGAGGTATTATGGGATAAATGAATCAAGTACAGTGCTGAGTTCTGTGCAGCCTTAGCATATGTTTTCCTCAGAAGTGGTTCTCCTTAGAACCATAGACATACGGATACCACGGGTCTCATGTACGTTCTTTTCCTAGGATAATGTCATTCACTGGCATAATTACAAATATTCCCAGTCTCTGTTGACTACCAAATCTGAGTCTGTAATGCAAATGGAGTTCTTACTGTCTCTGGATGTCTTTGTAAGGCTGTCAGGTTAGATATGCTCACAATTGAACATTCTCTTGCTTATCTTACAAATCTAAAATCCACATCCATATTTTCTTAGAGCTTCTGTCTTGGTTAATGTTACTTCTCTAGTGGTGCTTAACTCATTTAAAAATATTATCGGATCAAAAGAAGCCGGGCTCTGGTGGCTCATACCTGTAATCCTAGTTAGGAGGCTGAGGATTGAGTTTCAAAGCCAGCCTGGGCAGGAAGGTCCATGACACTTTATCTCCAATTAACCACCAGAAAACTGGAAGTGGTTCTGTGGCCCAAAGTAGTAGAGTGCTAGCCTTGAGCTAAAGAACTCAGGGACAACACCCAGGTCCATAGTTCAAGCTCCATGACCAACAAAAAGAAAGAAAGAAAAGAAAAAAAAAGAAAAAGGAAAGGAAGGAAGGAAGGAATCTTATAAGACAAAACTTCAGTATATGAAACAGAAAAGCAGAGTTGTCTTCATTATAATTGGTATATCTTCTTAGTCTGCATCCATTCTCTGCATCACCTGTTTTATCTCCTGGAAATTTCCAGAACTCCAGGGAGCACAGTTGGAAGATTTATGGGTTTTTCTTTCTTTTTGATGAAAGAAAAACCCATAAATCTTGGGGTTTGTACTCAGTGCTTCATGCTTGCTTTGCTTCGCTTATCTGGCTCATGCTCTATCACTTGAGTCACAGCTCCAGAATTGTTTTTTTGCTGATATTTTGGAGATGGCGTCTAGAGAATTCAGGCTGCTTCAAACCAAAATCTATTAGATCTCAGCTTCCTGAGTAGATGGGATTGCAGATGTGAGCCACCATGCCTGGTTAAAGAGTAATAGGTTTCTTAAAAATTTAAGATTAAGTGAATAATTTTGAAATCACGTTCATATCAGTGTCTTTGAATAGCAGTGTATTATCGTCATTATAGGCTAGGTATTTTCAAACAGTTCTTCCCTAAGGCTCAAAAACTTCCTTTATAACAGTGCCTAACTATATACTTTACAATGTTGTTTACTTGGAGAACATACAGAAAGTTGGAAGGCAGAAGAATAAAATTGGTAGTGTCCGATGATGGGTATATCAGACCTTTGATGTCTGATGCCATTAACCATTGTGATCACAATTAGCTTCTTTTGCTTACCACACAGTTTTGTGATCAAATATAATAAATGAAGCCTATAGTGTCTCACCCTTATAATCTAGCCTACTTGGTTGGAAAGCTAAGAATGGAAGGATTGTGGCTTGAGGCCAGTCTGGGCAGAAAAGTTCACAAAACTCCTCAACTCCAAACAGTCAGACTGCCTATAATCCTAAACTATGTGGGAGGCTGAGATTGGGAGCATCATGGTTCCAGGCCAGCCAAGACAAAAGTCTTGAGACTGCATTTCTGCAGAGGGAAGCTGAACATTGTGGGATGTACCTATCATCCCAGCAACCATGAGAATTATAAAAGAAGTAGATCAAAGCACACATGTGCTTGGATAGCAAATAACTAGTTAAAATGGCTGGAGGAGGGCTGGGAAGGTAGCTCAGCGGTAGAGTGCATGCCTTGCAAGCATGAGGTCCTGGGTTCGATTCCTCAGCACCACATAAAAGCCGGAAGTGGCGCTGTGGCTCCACTGGTAGAGCGCTAGCCTTGAGCTGAAGAGCTGAGGGACAGCGCCCAGACCCAGAATTCAGGCCCCATGACCGGCAAAAAAAAAAAAAAAAAAAAAAAAAAATGGCTGGAGGAGTGGCTCAGCAATAGAGAACCTCCCTAGCAAGCACAGAGCCCTGAGCTCAAACCCCAGTACTATCAAAAGAAAATGTAATAGATGAAGAATGTTGCAACATGAAAAAAACATGGTATAAAATGAAATAATACTGTAATTCGAAATAAATAATATGTAACAACAAATGATATGAGGAAGGAGCTGTCCTCTTATAAATAAATGAGTTTACCAATTTTCTGTTGCTAAATAAACATGAAATACAATCATATTTCTAAGCCATTAAAACAGGATTAGACAGCGCCCAGGCCCAGAGTTCAAGCCCCATAACCAACAAAAAAACAAAAACAAAACAAAAAAACAGGATTAGATTCTTGAGGACACTGAATTCTCTATGATAACAGTACTAACACTCCCTGGCAGCTAGTTGACTAGTTCTGGTGACAACTTCTACAACAATGTTGTCATCATATCCCTATGTGTCTGTGTTTGTAAACTATTATTTAAAGGATTTGGAAAAATAGATGAGATGTTGAATGGTCTTTTAATATAAACTGCAATATTATGATCCATGGTTTTGATTAATAAGATATTAGTATAAATTTGTGAGGCTTCTACTCTCCTTGACTGAAGAGATTTTTTTGGAACAAATATTAAATTTTTAATTTCTTTTGTGTGCTCTTACTGGGGCTTGAATTCAGGGCTAGGGCACTGTCCCTGAGCTTTTTTGCTCAAGGCTAATGCTCGACTACTTGAGCCACAGCTCCAATTACGGCTTTTTTGGTTCTTAATTGAAGTTAAGAGTTTCGTGGAGTTCCCTGCTTTGGTGGGCTTTGGTACCCTATCCTCAGATCTGCCTCTTGAATAGCTAGAATTACAAGTCACTGCCCAGCTGAATTTTGAGTTTATTCACAGTCAAGTAATGAATTCAGGTTTCAAAAAAAAATGCTGCTCTTCTGATTCCTAGATTATGCAAGCTGTCTAATACATATGATGTCAGGTAATACACTGGATTATGATTAATACTTTAAAAAATAGTAGGGGCTGGGAAGGTGGCAGTGGTAGAGCGCTTGCCTTGCATGCTCGAGGCCCTGGGTTCAATTCCTCAGCACCACATAAGCAAAAAGAAAAAAGCCGGAAGTGGCGCTGTGGCTCAAGTGGTAGAGCGCTAGCCTTGAGCTGAAGAGCTGAGGGACAGCGCCCAGGCCCAGAGTTCAGGCTCCATGACCAGACCCAAAAATAAATAAATAAAATAAAAAATAGTACTGCAAAATACTTTTATGGGGAGGAATCTGAGACTTGGAAATGTTTAGATAGCTTTTCCATTGTCACAACTATGAAAGTAGTGGGAGTGGATATGGACACAGACTATTAATCTTCAAAAATTCTTCTGTGCTAGATCATAGTGCTTTTTAGCATATTATGTATATATTTTAACATTTTCTGTGTGTGTATGTGTGTCTGTGTGTGTCTGTGTGTGTTTTCCTGGAAGTCAAACCCAGGGCTTCATGCCTACCAGGAATGTGCTTTACCATTGAGTTCCCAAGCCTCTTTTAGACAGTTTTTTGTTGTTGTTGTTTTCTGTTTTTGTTGGTTATGGGGCCTGACCTCTGGGCCTGAGGACTGTCCCTCAGCGCTTCAGCTCAAGGCTAGCACTCTACCACTTGAGCCACAGCGCCACTTCTGGCTTCTTCTCTTATGTTGTGCTGAGGAATCAAACCCAGGATCTCATGCATGCAGGGCAAGCACTCTACCACTAAGCCACCTTCCCAGCTCCTGTTTGTTTTGTTTTGTTTTTTAAGTTTGGAAAGTTTAAACAGTTGTACTGTGTTTATTTTAGATAAATGTTTCTTGTTTGGGGATTTTGTAAAAATGAGCATTGTGGATTTTTATGAACTTAATTTGTACTGTTGATTTTTTTCAACTAAATTCTTTAAGGCTTTCTTGCTCACAGCTGAGCTCCTGCTCTGTTGAGCATGCCTCCAGCATGGCCCTTTGCTGGCTAAATGGACATGGAATCTTGGAGTTTTTTCTGCCCAGTATGGCTTTGAACTTCAATCCTTCAGATATAGCCCCCTGAGGAGCTAGAATTGCAGACATGAAACACAAGCACCCAGTTTTCAGATAAATTTTTACCTACATATAACAACACTTCCTTTCTCCTAAGTTGATTTCTATAAGAATGTGAGTTTGGGCCAAGAGTTTCTTTACTCTGTTATTTGCTGTGAAATATGTGATTGTTTCTTTTAATTAGTTAGGGGCTTAAGGCAAGCACAATTATTGAACAAAGTCTCCTCCCTTTCCCCAAAAGTAAATGTTGCCTGTGCAGCAGAAGCTCTGCATTGTTTTCTGTTGGAAATGTGAGTTGTTGAAAGGGACTGACATTCTTACTCCTTAGCTAAGCCACTAAGCTAAGCTGTCATATGCCCTTGTTATATTTTTAATAACACCATATTTTTATGTTACAGATGGCTGAGAGCTAGCAAGGAAAATTCAGGACCATGATGATGGCTCAGTTTCCCACAGCTATGAATGGTAAGCAACTTTGTACTTGTGGCAGGATAAGAAAGAGGAAAGAAAGATATCTTTTTTCTTTTTTTTAATTAAGTTTTTTATTGTGAAAATACTGTACAGAGGGTTTACAGTTACATGAGCAAGGTAATGAGTACATTTCTTATCCAGCATTGTTGCCTCCTCCTTTGTTTTTCCCCTACCATCCCTTCCCATCCCACCTCCTCAGCTACACCCCCTATCCCACCTACCATATTTTTTCTTATGACAGAGATTCAAAATGTTGGTTTTTTTTTTTGGGGGGGGGGGGGTCGTGGGGCCTGAACTCTGGGCCTGGGCACTGTCCCTCAGCTCTTCAGCTCAAAGCTAGTGCTTTACTACTTGAGCCACAGCACCACTTCTGGCTTTTTTTCTTTTTGCTTATGTGATACTGAGGAATCAAACCCAGGGGCTCATGCATGCAAGGCAAGCGCTCTACTACTGAGCCACCTTCCCAGCCCCTCAAAATGGTTTTTAAGATAATTTTCCTTAACCTTATAAATGCAAATTTAAAGTATTCTTGTTGAAAATACTGAGAATGTATTTCAGAACACTGCATGTGTATCTATTGTTAAAATATTATGCAGTGAATCCCACATCTCAATGTAAGCAGGCTATGCAGTATCATCTGAAATACGTATTTGGCATTGGAAAGTAAAAATAACCTAAAGATATGTTATGTTTTATGAATATAACCTAAAAGGCAGAGTACTATTAGGTGAATATTAAAGATGTTGGTAGCTAGCATAGGACAGTTGCAAACCGACAAAGACAATGCAGATTCACTTAATAGTACACATAGAAGACCAACTTTTCTCTTTAAAGAGAACTAGGCATGCCTGCTTATATACTTGTTTAAACTGAAATATTTTAAAAGAAAATGTTGAGGTAATTTAGATAATAAAAAGTTTTAAAAGCCTTTATTCCAATTCTACTTATAATTCTTTCCTCAAATACATACTAACTACTCTTAATATGTCTGAAGTCACACTGTATATCACATAGAGTTGAGATAATACATTTTTAAATCACTGCAGAAGTATAAATACAGAGTTTTAAATTTTGTGGTATATTTCATTAGCTATTTGTCAGTAAATATGGGAAATAGGAAATAATGTCATTAATTTTTTAACATTTAAGTTAAAAATGGTAAGATCAGAGAACAGTTTTCGCCAGGTGCTAGTGGCTCACGCCTGTAATCCTAGCTATTCAGGAGGCTGAGATCTGAGGATCTTGGTTCAAAGTCAGCCCAGGCAGGAAAGACCGTAAGACTCATATCTCCAATAAACCACCAGAAAACCGGAAGTGGCGCTGTGGCTCAAGTGGTAGAGCGCTTGCCTTGGGCTGAAGAGCTGAGGGACAGCGCTCAGGCCCAGAGGTCAAGCCTCATGACCAACCAAAAAAAGAACAATTTTCATTAGTGCCAGTACTGGGGTTTCACTTTCTCCCTCAGCTTTTTTACTGATTAAAAAAAAGCTTAAAATCAGCATATTGTGGCCCAAGCATGCACTTAGGCAGGAAGCTACACCCTTTCTCAAAAAAGAACTGAAGGAAGTAGAGCTGTGCTCTAGTGGGAGGGAAGTGGGGAGAATGATGGAAGGAGTGATAGTAATCAAGATTCATTATACTTATAGACTGACATGTTCAATTATAACTTCTTTATACAAGTAAAAATAACAAAAATGTATTTTAAAAAATAATTGAAGGCTGGGAATTTGGCTTAATGGTAGAGTGCTTATATGAAGCCCTGGGTTCAATTCCTCAGTACCACATAAACAGAAAAAGCCAGAAATGGCACTGTAGCTCACGTGGTAGAATGCTAACCTTGAGTAAAAGAAGTTCAGGGACAGTGCCCACACCCTGAGTTCAAGCCCCAGGACTGGCAAAAAAAAAAAAAAAAAGAATTGGGTCCAGGTAAGGCTATGCATTTTACAAAAACCTAGCACTTGGTCAATAATTTACTTTCTTTAAAAATTATTTTCTTATTTTTAATGTTATTAAGGAGTTATACAAAGTCAACTAATGAGTGCAAAGCTTCTTAGACAATGTCATCTCTTCCTTTGCAGTAAAATTTTTTTTTAATTCCTGCAAACAAGCAATATACTGGAAATATAAACAGATATCAACAAATGACATGAGTGGTTTTCAATTGATCATAAGATTGTTTTAGATATGAATCTATATGAATTTTTTTTTCCCTGATCATGGGGTTGGAACTCTCGGCCTGGGTACTGTTTCTGAGCTTTTTTGCTCAAGACTCACATTCTGCCACTTTGAGCCACAGCTCCACTCTGGTTTTCTGGTGGTTATTTGGAGAATAAGAATCTCACAGACTTTGTTTCTTAGGCTAACTTTCAACTGCTGTCCTCAAATCTCAGCCTCCTGAGTAGCTAGGATTACGGGCATGAGCTGCCAGTACCTGGCCAGATATGAATGCAAATGATTTTAAAACAAGTATTAAAAAGAAAAAAAGAAAAGAAAAAGCACTAGAAGTATGGCTCACTCTCAGAGTGTCTGACTAGCTAGCTTGAGGCCCTGACATTAAACCCCAGTACTATAAAGCTACAGGAAGAAAAAAGAAAAACTTTTTTCATAGTTTAGCTATTACACTTAGTTTTATGGTACATTTAGAGTTATTTTTTTGTATAAGGTACAACATCAAGGTTCTCTTTCTTTTCTGTATGATGTCTAGTTCTTTTAGCACTGTTGGTTGAAAAGCTTATCATTTCTTTATTGAATTTTTTTTGGCATTATTGAAAATCAACAATGTATTTGTTGTCTGTTTCTTTTTAATTATCATCAAAGCAGATAATTTAAGAGTTACTTAAGCCTAAGTAGATTTTAACAATACTTGCCACCATAGGCAATTATTTCATGTCTCTACCTTTCTTTTCTCCTCTGAACAATAATAATTGTTTCATAAGATTCTTTTTTTTTTTTTTTTGGTGTGTCCTGGGGCTTGACCTCTGGGGCCTGGGTGCTGTCCCTGAGTTCTTCAGCTCAAGGCTAATGCTCTACCACTTGAACCATACCAGCCCCTCATAAGATTCTTGGATGACTTAATTGAATCAATATATATAAAGTTCCTGAAAAATGGTAAAATTGATTAAATGTTATTTATTGTTATTTTGCCAGTCTAATAGATAAAAGATGACATTGCATATTATTTTAATTTTTGTATATTACATATTACATGCAATCTCTACAACAGCCCTTTGGAGTTAGATAATATTCCTAATGTACAGAACTATTAGCTAAAGTACAGAAAAACATGACATTTTATCCATATATATTGGGAAATTTATATAGAACACAGGGTTAGTGTGGAGTCAGGTGACCCAGGTTCTAACCTCAGTCCTGCCACTTAACTGCTCATATGACCTTGGATGAGTAACTTTACCACCATTGGTCTTAGTTTTTTTTGTTTTTTTTTTTTTTGGGTCCCGTCGTGGGGCCTGAACTCTGGCCCTGGGTGCTGTCCCTCAGCTCTTCAGCTCAAGGCTAGCACTCTACCACTTGAGCCACAGCGCCACTTCCGGCTTTTTTCTTTTTGCTTATGTGGTGCTGGGGAATAGAACCCAAGGCCTCATGCATGCAAGGCAAGCGCTGTACCACTGAGCCACCTTCTCAGCCTGGTCTTAGTTGTTTTTTTTTTTTTTTATCCATAAATCTGGGACAGTTTTAGTGCCTTAATTTATAGAGTTGTGGTAAGAGTTAAATGTGTCAGGTCATATAAAGTACCTGCCAGATTCAGACCTCAGTAAAAGTGAGCTATTTTCATCGTATTTTTTAGCTGGTCATGGGGTGTGAACTAAGGGTCTTGGCACTGTCCCTGAGCACTTTTGCTCAAGGCTAGTACTCTATCACTTTGAACTATAGCACCACTTCTAGTTTTCTGGTACTTAATTGAAGATAAGAATCTTCACCTGGGCTGGGAATGTGGCTTAGTGGTAGAGTGCTTGCCTAGCATGCATGAAGCCCTGGAATCGATTCCTGAGTACCACATAAACAGAAAAAGCCCGAAGTGGCACTTTCAAGCACTAGAGCGCCAGCCTTGAGCACAGAGAGGCTCAGTTACAGAGCCCCAGCTGTGAGTTCAAGGCCCAGGCCCAGCAAAGAAAAAAGAAAAAAGTCTTCACCAACTTTCCTGCCCAGCCACCTTTGAATCAGAATCCTTAGATCTCAGCCTCCTGAGTAACTAGGATTACAGGTGTGAGCCACCAGCACCCAGCTACTCTCATCTTTGTCATCCTTTGGTTTGTCATTTTTTCCTATTTTAAAAGATCAACATTTTTTCAAAGCATAAAGTTCTAATTCAATTATATAACTATACTACTTGCTTAGTCACAGGGGTTCTGACAAGTTTATTTTTTAATAATGTGATAAATCAAGTAGAGTTTTACTACATGTGTGGTATTTACTTAGAAAGTGTGTAGGTTTAGCTATTTTTAGATCCTTAGATCTTTAGTACATCCGTTTATTTGTAACTCTACTTTTAAAGCTTCTCTGTAGCTGGGTGCCAGTGGCTCACGCATGTAATTCTAGCTACTCAGAAGTCTGAGATTTGAGGATCACAGTTTGAAGCCAGCCTAGGCAGGAAAGTCCATGAGATTCTTATCTCCAATTAATCACAGAAAAAGCCAGAAATAGTACAGTGGCTCAAGTGGTGGAGTGCTAGACTTGAGCAAAAAGAAGCCCAGGGACAGTGCCCAAGCCCAGAGTTCAAGCCGCAGGACTGGGGAATAAAAAAAAAAGGTTCTCTTTAAGAGAGAATGTTTATAGATTTTTAAAAATCCAGTCTTTAGGGATAAGAAAAATTAGTTAAATCTAGCTTAGCATTTAAAATGATAGGATGTCAGTATTTATCAGTGATAAATACTTCTGGAAAATTGCCTTTGTAAGGTAGACTTTTCTGTAGTGTAGGCAGCAAACGTGGTAGAAGTTTATTTACCTTAACATGTTTGATTCCTTGTTGACTGTAATTGAGTAAATTGAGAAGGAAGAAAAGTGAAGTGTAGATGGTTGTTTGCCATGTTGAATGTATATAACTTTACAAAGACCTCAGAAGCCAGGCACTGATACACTCATGCCTGTAATCCTAGCTAGTCAGGAGGCTGAGACTTGAAGCCAGTCTGGACAGGAAAGTCTATGAGACTGTCTCAAATTAACCATCAAAAAACCAGATGTGAAGGTGTGGCTCAAGTGGTAGAGAACCAGTCTTGAACAAAAAAGCTAAAGGACAACTCCTAGGCCCAGTACCAGCCTCAGTACCAGCACATTAAAAATAAAAAATAATTTCAAAAAGACTTCAAAGAGATAGTGTAACTATCTGTGAACAATAGACAATAAAAAACATAAGGGATCATCATATTTCCTCAAGTCTTCATCCTATCTTTCTTCTTTTCCCCCTCCCCCATTTCTTCTTTTTTTAATCCAGACATCTGTTCAGCCATCTTTTTTAAGTGTTTGCCCTGTGCTGATAAAGTCATCTCGTTCTAAGCATAAAAAGGCAAAGGCAAACACACAAAGCTCCTGTCCTTTAGGGCTCATAGTCTGGTAGAGCAGATGTACAGAAAACAATGACAACATCTTCTTAAGTGCTCTCTGAACAAGCATTAAGGAGTCTCTTGAGAGTCTGGCAGGGGAAGCAATTACTATGATCCAGAGGTGTGAGGACCTCCTGGGAAAAGTGACATATGTGTACCTGAGACCTTGAAAAATGAGGCTTTGAAATGGAGAGCTGGAGAAGGAAGCTCCATGGTTGATAGTTTTCCGAGTATGTACAAACCCAAGATTTGATCCCCAGCACTGGGAAATATATTTACCATTTCTGGTTAATTCCAGCCTACCCATATCTTTTCATTTCCTCATGTTCACATGGCAGCTCGCTAACAGTTCATCAGTGCACCTAGAACATCTGTTCCTTCCTTGACTTCTTATACCATGAATTTTCTGTGTGAGTGGAGTGCTCTTACACCACCCTTTTGTGTGGCAAAATGCAAGCTACCATTCAAGGCTTACCACAGTTTTAATCTTCCTGTAGTCATTCCTAATTCTCTAACAGGATTAGCATAGCTTACTTATATCTTTCTGTTTATCATTCTTTCATAGTCATACTTTGTAAGTGGTGGTAGTTGTTTTCTAGGTGTGAATTGCATGAGGGTGAGAATAATACTTTATTCATCTTTTTATTTGCCAGTATTTATATAAGTGTTCCAGTGAGTGGTATATAGTTATTATACAGTAGGTGTTAAATGAGTGAATGAAAGAAAAGTTGTAGCGCTGTGCTGTATATACTTCATAGAGCTCTACTTTTTTGTGCCACTCAGACATTAACTACAATCACTAAATGCACACTTATGATTCATATTTGCATTTGAGAATTGAGCCTATCATGCAGGTTTTGAGCAGGTTCATGTAGATGCTGTAATTACTTTGTTTTTCGTTTTAGGAGGGCCAAACATGTGGGCTATTACCTCTGAAGAACGCACTAAGCATGACAAACAGTTTGATAATCTCAAGCCTTCAGGAGGTTTCATAACAGGTTTGTGTTTATAATTAGTTATATTTTGTCTGTGAATTAATGATCTTTTCATGCATTAGTCTTAATTGTAATCAGATTTGTACTATTACACAGTAAAACTAGCTATCAAACAAAATTCTAGAATTTAAAAACTACTTTTTTTAGAACTAAATTTGTTGTTTTAGAGTTCAGATCTTGAATACTGTTATAGTCAAAAGTTTCTGGTTATTAGCTAGTTTTACATTTAATACTATAAGTTTTTTATTTCTTTTTTTTTTTTTTTTTTTGTTGGTCGTGGGGCTTGAACTCTGGGCCTGGGCGTTGTCCCTCAGCTCTTCAGCTCAAGGCGAGCCCTCTACCACTTGAGCTACAGGGCCACTTCCGGTTTTCTGGTGGTTTATTGGAGATAGGAGTCTCACGGTCTTTCCTGCCCGGGCTGGCTTTGAACTGTGATCCTCAGATCTCAGCCTCCTGAGTAGCTAGGATTACAGGCGTGAGCCACCGGCGCCCGGTTTTTATTTATTTCTTATAGCAGATTCAATTCCTAGAAAACTATCTCAAATTTTTCCTTGGGATCTCTTTTTATGTATCTCTTTTGAGGTTATACCAAGCATTGATTGTTAATGCTAGCTTTTGTTTTGCAGAAGGACCACTAGAGCCAAAAAAAGAATTAATTTGAGTGTATCTTCCAATTTTATTTTCTAGAAATGAAACTTTTATTTTGGTGCAAAGCATCTTAGTGCTTTATATATAGTCACAATAATAGTAACTATATTGTTATTTGAATTTGTACTGTATGCCAGATGCTATGCTAGCATTATCTCACTTGGCTTCACAATGTGCCCTATAAGGTAGCTACTATTGCAGTCTAGATTTACAGATAGTAAAATCGAGGCTTAGAGATGTTATGAAACTTGCCCAAGGTTATAAAGATGGTTAATGTTGATAACTTTCATCATGACTTTTAAATCTGTCCTCTTAACCATTATAGTTTGATATTATTTGTATTCTTGCTATAAGAACTACCTTATTAACAGCACATCTAGCAGCACAAGCATAGACACGTTCCTGTTGATACCTTTTGTTGCCTCAGCATTTCAAGGATGTTGTATAGTGCCAGGAAAGATACTACATGCTCTAGGTGTGTTATAGGAGAGAAACACTGATCTTAAAGAGCCTACTATTTTGTAGCAAGCAGTAAAGCAAATTTATTCTTCATTTCACTGGACAATATTACCTTATTTTTTACACTTATTCACTTACAAAGTCCACTTCTGAAAAGTAAAGAAGAGAGGAATTAGGGTTTTAAATTCGTGACAGACACAGCAGGATGCAGTGTGAAGAAACTAGTGGAGGACTGTGTGTCCTAACATTTGGTGTTTTCTGTTTGTTTGTCTATTTGTTTTGTGCTCATACTTTGGCTAGAACTCTTACTCTCTGCCCATTGAGCCATGCCTCTAATCTGGTATTTTGTAAGTGGAGATGGAGTCTTAAAGACTTTTCTGCCCTTGTTGGTTTCAAATTGTGATCCTCCTGGTCTTGGACTCTTGAGTAGCTAGGATTACAGGTGTGAGTCACTGGCACTAGGCCATTTTGAACTTATTGTAGAGAGTGTGTCTAGTGTTTTTAACTATGAGTTTTATTAATGGAATATTATCAAGTAAGACTCCTAGTCATGAAAGATCTAAGATGAATAGTCTAATCATTGATATATAACTTCAATTATGATTTATATTGCCCTAAAACACATAAATCTTATTGAAGTACCATAACTAATTTTATATGTATATTTATACTCTAATTAGAATTAAAATTATAAAATTATAATAAGCCTATTATTATTCAGAGACACTGGAGTTATTTTATTTACTAATGTGTAGTCTGTTTTTTGTTTTTGTTATCTTCAGGTGATCAAGCACGTACTTTTTTCTTGCAATCAGGTCTACCGGCTCCTGTTTTAGCAGAAATATGGTAAAAAAATTTTTTTTAATTTATTTTTAACTTATTTAATTCAGATATCTGATAGCCTGTTGGTAGTATTGTTCATAATAGTGTTAACATGAAACAGTTTTTATTTATACTCTATTGCTAAAGTTAAGAATATTTCTACAAGTTTTTGGAAAATAAATTGAGCAAATGATTAACAACAATTAGCATTTTGTTCTGTAGAACATCTAGTTTCACTAGAATTTCTTTTTATTTTTTTTCTCCATATTTCTATTACCATTAATTCAGTATACCAAGGGAGTTTCATTTTGATATGTCCATATATGTACATTGATTAGTCACTCTCCCTTATATATCCTCCCTCCTTTCCAAGCCAATTTCTTTCTTTCTTTTTCTCTTTCCTTCTTTCCTTTTTTTTTTTTTTTTTTGTTGGTCATGGGCCTTGAACTCTGGATCTAGGCACTGTCCCTCAGCTTTTCAGCTCAAGTCTAGTGCTCTACCACTTGAGCCACAGCACCACTTCTGTTTTCTAGTGGTTTATTGGAGATAAGAGTCTCATGGTCATTCCTGCCCAGGCTGGCTTTGAACTGCGATCCTCAGATCTCAGCCTCCTGAGTAGCTAGGATTACAGGTGTGAGCCACCAGCGCCCGGCCTCCAAGCCAATTTCAATGAGTGTAATTGTTCCATTTTCACATATTATCTAAAATATTTGTACCATTTTTACACTCCTTCACCTTCTCTGTTCAGCTTCCCTTCTCCTAGTAGGTCCATACTCCAGCAGAACTTATTTTATATTTTACATTCCTGTCATTCTTTGTGTGTGTGTGTGTGTGTGTGTGTGTGTGTGTGTGTGTGTGTGTGTCTGTGTGTGTGTTTTGTGCCAGTCTTGGAGCTTGAACTCAGGGTCTAGGTGCTGTCCTTGCACTTTTGTGTTCAAGGCTAGTTAATTCTACTACTTGAGCCACAGCTCCACTTCTGGCTTTTTAGTGGTTAATTGAAGATAAGAGTTTTATGGCTGCCCAGGCTGTCTTTGAACTATGATCCTCAGATCTCAGCCTTCTGAGTAGCTAGGATTAACATTGTGAGCCAGTGGTGCCTGGCTTTGTCTTTCATTTTTTAAAAAAAAATTATGTTAATTGTTCAAAGTGATTTCATCATGATATTTTACATCTGTATTTACAGTATTTTAATCAGATTGACCCCCTTGTCTACAATCACTACTCCTTCTTATTATCTTACTATTATTGAACACCTTTCAGTGAGTTCCTTTTTTTTTTTGTCAGTTGTGGAGCTTGAACTCTGGGCCTGGGCACTATCCCTCAGCTCTTTAGCTCAAGGCTAGTGCTCTAACACTTGAGCCATAGCGCCACTTTGGGTTATCTGGTAGTTAATTGGAGATAAGAGTCTCCCAGACTTTCCTGCCCAGCCTGGCTTTGAACCATTATTCTTAGATCTCAGCCTCCTGAGTAGATAGGATTACAGGAGCGAGCCACTGGCGCCTGGCTTCCATTTTGCTATTTTCAGTTACAGATGCAGTGTATTTTGGTATTGTCTTGCTTCTAAGACTTCAAAGAAGAGAAGATGTATACATTATCATAGAGAAGTAATTCTTTACAACTTGTCAGAATGTAAAAATCTTATTTCTGTTATTTTGTAGTAGCTTTATTTCATCATTCAGATATATATATATATATATGTATATGTCCCCCAACTAGCCTTCCTAACTTGAAAAAAAAAAAGATTCTCTGGAATATATGTGATGTGTTTCTTGTGGGAGGTGGAGATATATGTTTGTTGGTACTGGGGCTTGAATGCAGGGCCTAGGCACTGTCACTGAGCTTTTTTACTTAAGGACAGTGCTCTACCATTTGAGCCACACATCCTTTGGAGCTTAATTGGAACTAAGAATACCATGACTATGGTGCTGGGAAGGTGGCTCAGTGGTAGAGAGCTTGCCTTGCATGCATGAGGCCCTGGGTTCGATTCCTCAGCACCACATAAGCAAAAAGAAAAAAGCTGGAAGTGGCGCTGTGGCTCAAGTGGTAGAGCGCTAGCCTTGAGCTGAAGAGCTGAGGGACAGCACCCAGGCCCAGAGTTCAGGCCCCAGGACCGGACCCAAAAAAAGAATACTCAGTGCCTCACATCTGCAATCCTAGTTACTTAGGAGGCTGAGAGCTAAGGATCACAGTTTAAGCTAGCCTCAGCAGGAGAGTCCATGAGACTCTTACCTTCAGTTAACTAACACACACACACACACACACACACACACTCTCTCTCTCTCTCTCTCTCTCTCTCTCTCTCTCTCTCTCTCCCCCCCTCCTCTCCATACACACACACTCCCCCCTCTCCTCCTCTCCCTGCCGAAGTAGAGCTGTGGCTCAAGGTAGAGTGCTAGCTGTGATCAAAAGAAGCTCAGAGACAGCACCCAGGCCCTGAGTTCAATTCCCAGGACTGGAAGGAGATAAAAAAAAAAAGAATCTCATGGATTTTCCTGCTTGGGCTAGATTTGAATTTCGATCCTCAGATTTCAGCCTCCTGAGAGGCTAGGATTTAGGAGTGAGCCATCAGTGCCCAGTTACAATTGTCTTTTTAAAAAATATGTAACAACCCCTATCCCATATTTCTTTTTTGTAGAATATTCTTCTACAAAGTATACATTCACTATGAGACACATAGCATACTTTCAATACCTGATCAAAAATGAATGAATTAAATTTAGAATTACAATATTCTTGAATGATTTCTTTTTTAGCTGTACTAGGAGAATTCTGTCCATTGGTCTCCAGATTCTGTATAGTATCTTACTTAGAGGCTATTTCTGGTCAGTATCTCTTCATGTGCTAGTTTTAGCTTTTTGTTATTCATATTTATGTGTATTTAATTTAGTGATCTACATGTAGATGTTCTTATCTTGTCTTATTTTATGTTTTCAAACTTGACAGTAATATTGGTTCTTACTACCACCTGGCATGCCTCATGCTTCTTTTAGGGCCCTATCAGATCTGAACAAAGATGGGAAAATGGACCAGCAAGAATTCTCCATAGCTATGAAGCTCATCAAACTAAAACTTCAAGGCCAACAGTTACCTGTGGTTCTCCCTCCTATTATGAAACAACCCCCTATGTTCTCTCCATTAATTTCTGCTCGGTTTGGTATGTATTTAATTTAATAAACTGTGTAAGAGTGTTCTGCTTGATTAGTAGACATAATACTTGTGGATCAGAAAAGGATTTGCTAGCACACAGTGATAATCCTCAAGCACAAGTTAATTTTAATGTCTAAGATAAGAAATATGAAATTCAATATCCTAGCTAAGGTGTCTGTTTGTTCCAATTTTCTAGTAACATTTTTGGTTTATATCTTTTGTTCTGGCGTTTGGTCTAGTTAGTATCCCCTTACACATATTTCCCAGGTGTGTAGTAAGTTATATGTCCTCCTTCCTACTTTAGGGTACTACCAATTCTAATTACTATTCTTAATTTTTTTCTATGTTCTCATGGAAATAGAAAGTAGAATTGTGGTTACCACAAGCTAGGATTATAGGTATGAGCTACTGGCACCTGGCTAAAACATTCTACTTTTGAAGAAACTAATTTTTTTTTTTTTGTCAGTCAGATTTGAACTCTGGGCTTGGGCATTGTCCCTCAGCTCTTCAGTTCAAGGCTAGCATTCTACCACTTGAGCCACGGCACCCCTTCCAGTTTTTGGAGTAGTTTATTGGAGATAAGAGTCTTACGACTTTTCCTGCCGGGATTGGCTTTGAACCACGATCCTCAGATCTCAGCCTCCTAAGTAGCTAGGATTACAGGTATGAGCCACTGGCACCCGGCTTGAAGAAACTAATATTTAATTAGAAATGGGTAATTTATTTTTAAACAGTGTGGGAAAAGGGAATCTTTAACTGATTAGTAGATATTTTCTTAGTTTATACAGGGCAGAGTAGTAATATTAAAAGCAGTAGTTGCTGGGCACCAGTGGTTAACACATGTAATCCTAGCTACTTAAGAGACTGAGATCTGAGGATAGAGGTTTGAAGCCAACCTGGGCAGGAAAGTCCATCAGACTCCTATCTCCAAATAACCACCAAAAAGCCAGAAGTGCTGTGCCTCAAACTAGTAGAGCACTAGCCTTGAGCGCGCATGCACACACACACACACACACACACACAGACACACACACACAGCAGTAGTTTATTGTGTTCACTTCTGGTTCAAGTTGCTTTAATCAATATTTTAGAATATTTTTCTTATCCTTTCTGTAACTGCTTGCTATATTGTAACTTGCTTTCTGTATGTGTTTTATAGGTGATGTGCTAACACTGAAAAATGAGTTTTCTTTTATCTTTAGGGATGGGAAGCATGCCCAATCTGTCCATTCCACAGTCACTGCCTCCAGTTGCACCTATAACACCCCTGTCTTCTGCAACTTCAGGGACCAGTCTTCCTCCCTTAATGATGCCTGCTCCCCTAGTGCCTTCTGTTAGTACATCATCACTACCAAATGGAACCACCAGTCTTATTCAGCCTTTATCCATTCCCTATTCTTCTTCAAGTAAGTGTTTAGTCAGTCACTATTTCATGTAAAGAAATTGCTGTATTTGTGTTCAAGTAGATACTGACTTTCTTTGTGTTTAATGTGACTTTTTCCTACCCTCTTTTTTCTTTTTTTTAGCATTGCCTCATACATCATCCTATAGTCTGATGATGGGTGGATTTGGTGGTGCTAGTATACAGAAGGCCCAGTCTCTGATTGACTTAGGATCTAGTAGGTATGACTCCTTAACATTTGTAATTTATGTTTTAAATAAAGAGTATTTATTTGATAAATTCTCAGCTTATCTAGATTTTACTTTGCAGTGGTCAAAAAATAAGTACTTAACTCCCATAAACTAATTTTTTTAATTTTTAAAAGTATTAAATATCTGGCATTTTACTTTTGAAAAATATGTAAACTAAAAAATACTCTCCTACATTTTAGTCAACTTTTTGTCCCAAATTATGTAGTTTTCTGTTAAGAACAAAACAAAAACAAAGTATGTGTGTACACAGTACTTCTCAAAATGTCTGAATCATTGACATTATTCATTTTTTTTCTTAAGTAAATATTGATGATTTGGGCTTTGTTTTTGGTCAGTCATGGGGCTTGAACTCAGCCTGGGCACTGTCCCTCAGCTCAAGGTGAATGCTCTACCATTTGAACCACAGCACCACTTCCAGTTTTCTGGTGGTTAATTGGAAATAAGAGTCTCATAGACTTTCCTACCTGTGCTGGCTTTGAATAGTGATCCTTAGATCTAAGCCTCCTGAGTAGCTAGGATTACAAGCCTGAGCCACCGGCATCTAGCTTATGCTTTTTTTTTTTTTAAATAAGTTTTAGAAAGCACATAATCGTTCATCATCTCATAGAAATCATCAGTATGTTCTTCATTGTACAGTGTTAATTTTGACTCAGCACAGCATTTGTATCAGAGCTTAAACACTCATTAATTTGGGTGTTTAAAATTTTCTTAACCTTACTGAGTCTTAGATTACACAACTAAAATATGGGGACAGTAATTTCTCTTAAGTTTGTTTGGAAGATTCAAAGTGATATTTGTAAGCCCTGGTGTATTGTGTCTTCTTGATATATTGTGTTCTAGTATTTGTGTTACTAAGAATAATAATGATCACTAGAATTTAAATTTTTGAAAACTATCAAATACAAAATCATTTACTGTCATTTTATATAAGATGGTTCTTAATATCTTTTATAAAGTTTAAGTAAATTTCACTTAGTAACAAAATCTTAAATATATTTTGTTATAGCTCAACTTCTTCAACTGCTTCACTTACCGGGAACTCACCCAAGACTGGAACCTCAGAATGGGCAGTTCCTCAGCCTTCAAGATTGAAATATCGGCAAAAATTTAATAGTCTTGACAAAAGCATGAGTGGGTACCTCTCAGGTAAGCAGCATACAATGTTTAGCAGTGTGAGTTAGTTGTTTTTTTTTTGGGTCCAGTTGTGGGGCCTGAACTCTGGGCCTGAGTGCTATCCCTCAGCTTTTCAGCTCAAGGCTAGCACTCTACTACTTGAGCCACAGCACCACTTCTGGCATTTTTCTTTTTGCTTATGTGGTGCTGAGGAATCGAACCCAGGGCCTCATGCATGCAAGGCAAGCGCTCTACCACTGAGCCAACTTCCCAGCCCTGAGTTAGTTTTTTATATGTAGATTTTCTTTGAAAAACTGTTATTTGAACTTGTACTTTGCAGCTTATCTATCAGTTTTAGTATTCAAGGAATTTAGAAGGCATTTGACAAAGATGGATTTAATTTTTCAATTTGCTTTCTTGAGAGGTTATCTGTGTGTGTGTGTGTGTGTGTGTGTGTGTGTGTGTGTGTGTGTGTGTGTGTGTGAGTGAGTGTCAGTACTAGGGTTTGAACTTCAGGTCTCACTCTCTCACAGCTTTTTTGCTCACACTGGGATGAACTTTTTTGAACTCATATTTTTATTTTCTTTTTACATCTTAGCAAAAGTAGATTGAAAAGACATGTTGAAAATGTTTCTATCCTACATGGCTATCAACAGGAGAATAGATAAGTGAACTGTGATGTATTTGTGTAACAGAATGCTTTACAGCAATAAAAAATAATGACCTGGGGGCTGGGAAGGTGGCTCAGTGGTAGAGCGCATGCCTTTCATGCCTGAGGCCCTGGGTTCGATTCCTCAGCACCACATAAGCAAAAAGAAAAAAGCCGGAAGTGGCGCTATGGCTCAAGTAGAGCGGCTAGCCTTGAGCTGAAGAGCTGAGGGACAGCGCCCAGGCCCAGAGTTCAGGCCCCATGACCAGACCCCCCAAAAAAACAAAAAAAAAATAATGACCTGATATATATAACAATGTGAATGAATTTCACTGATCCTGTATAGAAAGAAGGCATGCACAAAAGATACTTGTATTTGTATATATCTATGAATTGAACTGAATGCAGAGTGCATGTATGCTTACCTATATAAAAATTCATCTGGTATCACTCAAGATTAGTACACTTGGAAGCAGAGATGTGGTTTAAGCAGTAATGCACTACCTTGAGGGAAAAGCTAAACCAGAGCAGAAGGCCTTGAGTTTAAGCCCCAGTACTGAAGAGCAGTGAATGGAAATCAGCTGAGAGGAAATGATCATTAGTGTCATTTTATTTGTGTATGTCATGGTATATGAAGGTTTTCAGAGAGTGTTATTCTAGGCCCTACAAGGATAAAACCATTACCTATGTAGAAAGAGCAGGATTTTCTTTTAAAAAGAAGTTACTTCTAGTGTCCTGAAATTGAGCACATACCTCAAGTAGATGAGGACGACTAATGCACACTTACATGTTAATGCTTTGTTCAGTCAATGAAGCAACCAGTGGTCTAATTTTCTTCCTTTTGTTCTTCCTCTTTTCTTATCCCCAAAACCTGTCACCTTGGATTTATTTATAGCAGTTCTTTGGTTCAGATATTCCTCAGTCTCATATCTTCTAGATGTTCTCTTGACACAGAAATATACAGAGGAAAAATTGGCTAGCAGAGAATAGAAGGGACAGCATTAGAGCAGAGAAGATAGCCTATCCCAAGGATTGGCAAGAAGCTGTGTGATCAAGTGAGCTTTTCTTAGTAAAGTACTCTGCTGGCTCTTGGAGGCCTTTTGTATTATTCAGACTTTGTCTGCACTCAGAGTCCTCCAGCATCTGTTTTTGACCATTCATTTTTTTTTTCATCCTGTCTGTCCTATTGCCTAATGCTAAGTGGTATTCTTTAAGTTATCTTTGTCCAAGAGCTAAAATATTATTGAATTTTTTCCAGGTCTGAAATAGCCTTCTATTTCTCACGATTAGAAGAATCTTCTTTTAATGCAGGAACCTCCTCAAATCTCACTTTGCGTGTGAAAGCTAAAGAGTAATCAGTTGAGTGGAGCTATAAGCTATACCCAGAGTTTTTCTTTATATAATTTCTATTAAGTGGTCATATTAAAAAAGTAGAATGGTGCCAGGCACCAGTGGCTCACATCTGTAATCTTAGCTACTTAGTAAGCTGAGTTCTGAGGATCATGGTTTGAAGCCAACCTGGGAAGGAAGTCCATAAGACTCTTACCGTCAGTTAACTACCAAAAAGCCAGAAGTAGAGCTGGAGCTTAGTGGTAGAGTGCTAACCTTGAGCAGAAAAAGCTGAAAGACAGCACACAGGCCTTGAGTGCAAACCCTAGTGTGCCCAAGAGTGCGCACTCTCTCTCTCTCTCTCTCTCTCTCTCTCTTTCTTTCTCTCTCTCTCTCTCTTTCTCTCTCTCTCACAATGAGCCCGGCACCAGTAGCTCACATCTGTAATGCTAGCTACTCAGGAGGCTGAGATCTGAGGATTACATTTTAAGCCAGTCCAGCCAGACAAATCCAAGAGACTTTCATCTCCATATAATCAGAAAAAAAAATAATAGCCCAAACTGGAGGCTGTAGCTCAAGTGGTAGAGTGTAGTCACAAGCAAAAAAGGCAGCAAGAGCTCAATACCCTGAGTTCGTCTCAGTAGCAGCACACACAAAAAAAGAAATAAATAATCATGTGAGAAAGGTTTAAAAGTTGTAAAATACAGCTGGGTGCTGGTGGCTCACGCCTGTAGTCCTAGCTACTCAGGAGGCTGAGATCTGAGGATCACAGTTCAAAGCCAGCCCATCCAGGAAAGTCCATGAGACTCTTATCTCCAAGAAACCACTAGTAAACGAGAAGTGGCACTGTGACGCAAGAGGTAGAGTGCTCACCTTGAGCTGAAGAGTACAGAGATAGTACCCAAGCCCAGAGTTCAAGCCCCAAGACTGACAAAAAAAAGTTGTAAAATACAAACATTGAATAATACTTAGAGTTTTGATTAGCAAGTCCTCTAAAGTTGTTAACTGTGTTTGTTTTTTTTCTGGCTTAGTATCAGGAGCTACATCTCAGGAAGGTAGTTATATACTTAGTTGTATGCAGAGTCATGTTGTATAGCACCCAACTAAGTATAAGCCCAGAGTAGAAGCTGACTGTTCTGGTTCTCATGGCCAGTCAACTAGAAGTGAAGATGAGATACCCACTTAACCAACAAGAAGACCATTCTTAGAGAAGTCGCATGGTTTTTATCCATGGTCTAGTAATCCACAGACTAGCGGAATAGGAATCAGTGTGCCTCTGAAGCTAACAGGGATTTTCTGCCCTGGAGCATATATTCTTGGATTCTGTGGGTCTGTTTTCCTGGTATGACATTCCAGTTCAGGAAATGTATTACAAAAACACTTTTTATTACTAAAGAGGAGAAAAGTTGAGCAATTTACTATACATAGTAAGCCTTCAATAAAAGTTATTATTGCCAAATGCTATCATATAAATGCCCCTTGTGTTTTAAATAGTGGAGAACCAGATTCTAACTTGATTCATTATTTTAGCAAATAGTTATTTTAAGTATCCATTTGTTAGGTATTGGGTATGCATTCGTGAATTAAGCAGTTTTTAAATCTCATTTGATTTTAGTAGTGTAATTGTGGAAACAGACAATAAAAACAAGCATATAAAAAGATAGTAGAAGTTGTAGTACATGATATAAAAGAAACAGGAAGTATATTGGATGATACTGTGGACAGAGGAAACCTTTTTGAGAAAGTCACATTAAATTGAGATTTATAGGGTGAGGAAGACCAGCTAGGTAGTGGCATAGAATTAAGACTTGGTGTTGGATATGAGTATATAGAAAGAGGGGAATCAAAGAAGCCATTTAGATTTCTAGCTTGAGCCATTTGGTGGACAGTGATGCCATTTGAAAAGAAAGAAAAACTGAGGGGAAATGATTTGAGGTAAAAACAGAAAAGAGACATGGATGGGAATAGAGAATTACTTGGTTTGAGATGTCTCTGAAATGCATGAATAGGTTTTTGGTTAAAGTTACAAGTATAAAATTAGAGGAGAGGTTTGGACTACAGATGTATATTTGAGGATCACCAGGCTTTAGGGGCTATTGAAAGCCATACAAATGGATAGGAATCCGGGCAACAAAGGGGTGTCCAGGAGAGTCCTTGGAGGAATGGCAGCATTTACAGATTCCTTAGGGAAAGGTATAATGGAGACAGAGGAATGGTCAGAAAAGAGAAATTCTGAGAATGGGGTAAGGAAGTCCTGTTAGAGTACAAGAAGGCTAAGAGCTCTTAGCCTCTCAAACTCTGCTCAGTGATCTCGTCCTTCACCTCAGCCACTAGTACGTGTTGATACCTTGATGAAAGAACACTGTGGGGAGCACTTACCGTACTAATTCTAGATTTTAAACTTCTTGCAGCAGAACTGTATTTGATTACTATTGAATACTGGGCATATGGTAAAATATTTAATGTTAAAAGTTCCCAAGAAGTAGTAATACTATTTATAGGTATAGTTGTTTGGGTTTAAATGACTTTTAAAAAGCTAAATATTTTTTTCTTTATGGTTTTCCCATTCATTCAGGTTTTCAAGCTAGAAATGCCCTTCTTCAGTCAAATCTTTCCCAAACTCAGCTAGCTACTATTTGGTGAGTTTGTCTATTACTACGATTTTTACCTATAATGCCTCTATTATTAAAAAAAATTATCTGGAAGATTATTTCTACCAAAAAACAAAAAAGTGGGCTGGGAAGGTGGCTCAGTGGTAGAGCGCTTGTCTTGCATGCCTGAGGCCCTGGGTTCGATTCCTCAGCACCACACAAGCGAAAAGAAAAAAGCCGGAAGTGGTGCTGTGACTCAAGTGGAAGAGCGCTGGCCTTGAGCTGAAGAGCTGAGGGACAGCGCCCAGGCCCAGAGTTCAGGCCCCACAACTGGACCCAAAAAAAAAAAACAACAAAAAAGAGAAATGTAATTACTTCTATAAAATTTCATTAAAACTGCTCCATGAAAGTGACCATTTGAGGGCTGGGAATATGACTTAGTGGTAGATTGCTTGTCTAACATGCATGAAGCCCTGGGTTCGATTCCTTACTACCACATTAACAGAAAAAGCCAGAAGTGATGCTGTAGCTCAAGCAGTAGAGTGCTAGCCTTGAGCAAAAGAAGCTTAGGGACAGTGCCCAGGCCCTGAGTTCAAGCCCCAGGACTGGCAAAAAAATTAAAATAAGAATTGGGTTCAGGCAAGGCTATAATTATAGGGGTGAACCACCTGTCTGGCTAAAACTGTAATTTATAAAATGACTTCTGTGGAAAAATCAAAGAATATCTCATTTTTAATATGCCTAATTTTTTTTTCGTCCCTCATGGGGCTTGAATTCTAGGCCTGAACTCTGTCCTCAGCTCTTCAGCTCAAAGCTAGCACTTTACCATTTGAGCCACTGCACCACTTCCGGTTTTCTGAGTGGTTTATTGGAGATCAGAGTCTCACAGACTTTCCTGCCTAGGCTGGCTTTGAACCTTGATCCTCAGATCTCAGCCTCCAGAGTAGCTAGAATTATGAGCCACTGGCGCCCAGCCCTAAATGTGTTTTGAGTGATGCCTTGAACTTGAAATAAGATAAGCCACTTTCCAGAGTGGGTATTTCCTATTCTGTTACATAATTTCTGTTCTGTTTTTTTGGATTATGAAAATAAAGAGTAAAAATGAACTCACTTTCTTGTATTTATTTACATTTCACTAAAATATGTTAACTCAGCAGTTTTACTCTCATGATTATTTTTTTTCTTTTTTTTTTTTGGCCAGTCCTGGGGCTTGAACTCAGGGCCTGGGCACTGTCCCTGAACTTATTTTGCTCAAGTCTAGCCCTCTACCACTTGAGCCACAATTCCACTTCTGGCTTTTTTTTTTTTTTTTTTCTGTTTTAGGGGTACTAAGGAATCAAACCCAGGGCTACATGCATGCTGAGCAAGCACTGTACCACTAGGCCACATTCTCAGCCCCTCATGATTATTCTTTTTTTTTTTTTTGGTCCGGTTGTGGGGCCTGAACTCAGGGCCTGGGCACTGTCCCTCAGCTCTTCAGCTCAAGGCTAATGCTCTACCACTTGAGCCACAGCGCCACTTCTGGCTTTTTTCTTTTTGCTTATGTGGTGCTGAAGAATTGAACCCAGGGCCTCAGGCATCCAGGGCAAGCGCTCTACCACTGAGCCACCTTCCCAGCCCCTCATGATTATTCTTTGGAAAATAAAAAAATTATACTCTTCAGCCAGGTGCTGATAGCTACTCAGGAGACTGAAATCTGAAGGATCACAGTTAGAAGCCAGCTTAGGCAGGAAAGTCTGTGGGACTTTGTAACCAGAAAAAGCCAGAACTGGACCTGTGGCTCAAGTGGTACAGTGCTAGCCTTGAGCAAAAAAGCTCAGGGACAATGTTCAGGCCCTGAGTTTGAGTCCTAAGACGAGCACTAAAAAAAGAATTATACTCTTCAAACATCATGAAGTATTTTATTAAAAGTAGACTTTCTGGGCTGGGATGTAGCTCAGTGGCAAAGCGCTTGCCTAGCAAGTGCAGCATCCTGGGTTCGATTCCCAGTACCAAAAAAAAGAAAAGACAAAATTACAGTTAAAAAATAGACTTTCTAAGTTGTTAGTTTTTTACATTTTCTTTAGGACTCTGGCTGACATTGATGGTGATGGACAACTAAAAGCTGAAGAGTTTATCTTAGCTATGCATCTCACTGATATGGCCAAAGCTGGGCAGCCATTACCACTGACTTTACCTCCTGAGCTTGTCCCTCCATCTTTCAGGTGAGTGTCGTTAGAAGTGAAGAGCTGTTGTTGTTGTTTTTTAATCACTTAGCAGGTATGATTTTACTTTGGATTTACTAGGCCTCTGCTCCAGTTTTAAAAGAGAGTGAAATGTTTGCACTGACATTTGATGTCAGTAGTCAGTGAGTTATACTAGAAAGGTGTACACATGGGAAGTAGATGTATTTTCACACTATGTTACATAGATAAGGCACTGAAAATTAAAGAGATTAAGAGAAGGGCTAGAGGCATGGCTCAAGTGATAGAGCACCTACCTGATGACTTGACCCCTCCCCCCAAAAAAGAGTTTAAGAAAAACTTGCCCAAGAATAGCAATTAGCTGAAGTGTAATTTGAGCCATTGTAACTACAAACAGGTAGTTTTCAGTATGTTGTAAATATTAAATTTCTTTAATCATTTATAGTTTTTTTTTTCTTTTGTAGTGCTAGGTTTTTAACTCAGGGCTTGAAATTTGCTAGGCAAGCACTTTACCATTTGAATCCTAACCTTAGGCCTTTTTTTATTTATCAGCTAGGATTTTATTTACCAGCTAGGTATTTATCAGCTAGGATCTTGTGATTTTGCCCAGGACTTGCCTTGGGTTTTGAACCACATTTCTACTTACTGCATAGCTGGGATTATAGATGTGTATTATTACTACATCCAATTTATTAGCTCCTGCTGGCTGCAAACAACAGTTCTCTCAATCTTTAAAAATAGTTGGAATTATATGCAGATCCCACTATGCTCTGTCTATTGGTCTGTATTTTTAAGTCTGACAATCCTCAGATTGTATGATACTAAATTTGTATTTCGTTGTTTTTCTTAGAGGAGGAAAGCAAATTGATTCCATTAATGGAACTCTCCCTTCATATCAGAAAATGCAAGAAGAAGAACCTCAGAAGAAATTACCAGGTATTATTCAGTATCTAAGTTGTATACTTATAATCAGTTCTTTTAAATTTTACACTGAAACATACGTAAATATTTAAAATGTTTACTCCCTTAAATTTTTATAGGGATTTTATGGATTTTTAGGGATTTTACTGATTTTTTAAAAAAAATTGTTTTAGTTCTGGGCCTTTTAACATACTAAGCAAACATTTTACCACTGAGCTACATCCCCAGCTTGATGGGATAGATTTTTAATGTTGATAGTAAAGATAGTAAAAATGAAAAGACTATGAAGGAAGAAGAGACAGTGTATGAACTTGGAAAGAATTAAGCACTCAAGTTAGATTGTTTCTCCCACTCAGGGAGATTTATTAGAGCAAGTTTGTGATGAAATGTTTAGGTTTTTTTATTTTTTTTTATTTATTTTTTTTTATATTTTGTATATCTTTAATTTCATCATAGTTCTTTTTTTTTTTAATTTTATTTTATTTGAGAACATACTGTACAGAGGGGTTACAATTACATGGGCAGGAAAATGCATACATTTCTTACTGTTTAGGTTTTTTTAAAGTAAAGCTTTGAAATATTGGTTGAAAGAATACACACACGTAACCATTCTTTTTTTTTTTTTTTTGCCAGTTCTGGGGCTTGAACTCAGGGCCTAGGTAACCATCCCTGAGCCTAATGCTCAAAGCTAGTGCTCTACCACTTGAGCCAGAAGGCCACTTATAGCTTTTTTCTGTGATTAATTGGAGATAAGAGTCTCACAGATTTTCCTGCCCAATCTGGCTTCAAACCGTAGTCTTCTGATTTCAGACTCCTGAGTAGCTAGGATTACATGTGTGAGCCATTGGTGGCTAGCACATGTAACTATTTTAAATTATTAAAAAGTTAATGACATATGTCAATTAAACCAAATATATAGCCATATAGCTATGATTATCTTTGCAGAAAACTCTGAGGAAAACATTGAACAGTATACAGTTGTACATAGAATGGTATTTACACAGAAATTTGTTTTCTTAAATATTTTTAGAAGACAGTATGTATTTTTTCTATTTACGTTTATTTTTTCCACTTACATTTGAGTGAGAGCACTCACAATGACTAGGCATGTGTTGAACTAGATTCAGTTGGCTCTTACTATGTGAGAGAGCTTACAGTGTACTTTATTTAGTTACTTTTGAGGACAAGCGGAAAGCCAACTATGAGCGAGGGAATATGGAACTGGAAAAGCGACGCCAAGTCTTGATGGAGCAACAGCAGAGGGAGGCAGAACGTAAAGCCCAGAAAGAAAAGGAAGAGTGGGAGCGAAAACAGAGAGAATTACAAGAACAAGAATGGAAGAAACAACTTGAATTAGAAAAACGCTTGGAGAAACAGAGGGAACTAGAGAGACAACGAGAAGAAGAAAGGAGAAAGGAGATAGAAAGACGAGAGGTATTTTTAACTTATTTCTTGAGAAAATCATTAATTTCATAAGTGATTTCAATTAATAAAAATATGCTTATAGGCTAGGAATGTGGCTTAGTGCTAGAGTGCTTGCCTAGCATGCATGAAGCCCTGGGTTCCATTCCTCAGTACCACATAAACAGAAAAAACCAGAAGTGGAGCTGTGGCTCAAGTGGTAGAGTGCTAGCCTTTAGCAAAAGAAGCTCAGGGACAGTGCCTAGTCCCTGAGTTCAAGCTCCAGGACTGGCAAAAAAAAAAAGACTTATTTAAAAATTTTTAGTTTGCCTTTTTCTCTGATTCATCTTATTCTTAGCTATCCTATACAACTCTGAATGTTTCTCTTCCCCTGAGGAGAGAAAGAGGGTCTGGGCTGGTATGTGGGAGAGAGATCATTACTGTAGATGATACCTCAGTCAAAGGAGGGTTGGTTGCACAGCTGAGTTGAGTAAGGAGCCAATGAAATGAGTCAGGCTGAGGAGGTTATTATACAAAAGCATGATTGGACTTCAGATTAATAGTATCAGAAATTGGAGACAGATGGGAGTGAAGGTCTAGAGAAAAATCAAGATTGTGGCCTTGTACAAGTCCTTAGTAGAGGGTTCATTTGGGTCCCTAGGACTTCTCTATGTATTTTAAAGGGCCAAGGATAGAGCATAGTAAGTTATTATTCACTGAAAAACTGTAATTGGATTTTTTAATTCTTTAATATAAGAATAAATGTTTAATTATTCCTCTTAACATTTGTATTTATGAAGTCATCCTTTAGCCTCTTAAAAGAAAAAAATGCAGTCATGGTATTTAATATATACTATATGGAAAGTGAATTGTGCAACTTGTAGACAAGGATGGGAGAAGGAAACGGGGAAAGTGAAGGAAGGGGTGCTATTATCCAAAAGAAAATGTACATATTACCTGAATTGTGAAGTGGTAGCCCTTAATGGTACTATATAACACCTAAGTAATAATAGTAAAATTTTTTGTTTGTTTGTTTTTGGTCATTTGTAGGGCCTGAACTCTGGGCCTGGCACTGTCCCTCAGTTCTTCAGCTCAAGGCTAGCACTCTGCCACTTGAGTCACAGTGCCACTTATGGCTTTTTCTGCTTATGTGGTGCTGAAGAATGGAACTAAGGGCCTCATGCATGCAAGACAAGCACTCTACCACTGAGCCACCTTCCCAGCCCCATAATAAAATATTTTAAAAACAAAATAAACATTTGAAATCAGAAAAAAGAAAAGAGGAAAAAAAGAAAAAAAATAAGAATGATTCTTAGAAGCAATCAAAAAGTGGTGGCTCCTGCCTTTAATCTTAGCTACTCAAGAGGCTGAGCTCTGAGGATTATGGTTCCAAGCCAGCCCAGGCAGAAAATTCTCATGAGACTCTTAGCTCCAATTAACCAGTCAAAACCTGGTAGTGGAGCTGTGGCTTAAAAGTGTAGTATTCTAGCCTTGAGAAGAATAGCTCAGGGATAGCACCTAGGCTCTAAGTTCAAGCTCCATAACCATCACCAAAAACAAAGTATTGGAAAAAGTCACTTTTGTGAGTCTTTAGATCATAAAATTAGATTTTCCCACTTGATGCACTTTGGCTTACTAAATGCTAGAAGCTATCATCCTATCAGTTTTAAAAAATAATTCCAGAGTTTTAATTAAAAACTGACTTTAATGCATTATTTTCAGGCAGCAAAACAAGAACTTGAACGACAACGTCGATTAGAATGGGAAAGAATTCGTCGACAGGAACTTCTCAATCAAAAGAATAGAGAACAAGAAGAAATTGTCAGGTTAAACTCTAAGAAGAAGAGTCTTCATCTCGAGTTGGAAGCATTGGTATGGCTAAAATTAAGTGGGATTTATCTAATGATGCTGAAAAATGCAGGGTTTTTTTGTTTTGTTTTTTGTTTTTGTCAGTTGTGGGGCTTGAATTCCGGGCTTGGGTACTGTTTGTCAGCTCTTCAGCTCAAGGTGAGCATCTACCACTTGAGCCACAGCTCCACTTCTGGTTTTCTGGTGGTTAATTGTAGATAAGAGTCTCATGGACTTTCCTTGCCCAGGCTAGCTTTGAACCGCAATCCTCAGATCTCAGCTAGAATTACAGGTGTGAGCCACCAGTGCCTGGCTTGCAGTTGTTTTATTAAATGTATCTCATGAATAAATTTTAATGAAGAGAGTACAGACAATTTCCAATCAATACCTTCCCATTCTTTTACTTTATTTTTTTTGAGATTTGTCTAAGGGCAGATTGGATAAAAAGATTCTATTCCTAAAAACAAAATGATTTTAAATTGTCCACTGACATATGTCTTAAAATTTCTTCTAGTTCTGTAAAACTATAATTCTTACAGTTCTTAGCAAATACTAGTCATTTCACTGGTAGATTTTATACATTAGGTTTCAGGGATTCAAGATCTTAAAAGACTTAGTTTGAAATGTAAAGGAAGAAAATAAAGTCTAGAACTAGATTTTTACAATCCTAGGATCCTATAAACATGAATTCGATGGTATAGTAGGATTTTATAAAAATGAATGTCTACCTGTGTAATAGTAATACTATAAATGTATGGCCAAGTGCTGAAATGAAAAAGAAAAATGCAGTGTGTTAAAATTGTGCTATTTCATCTTAATAATCAGCTCTTACACTGTGAAAATATTTCCTGCCAATAGCTTTCTTGATATTTATAGACAATTCTTTTGTCTTATAGACAATATTTTCTACTTAGCTTTAGACAGTTTATTTCAGATTAAGTCTGAATAATAAATGAAATTTAAAATTTTAACGAGTGTGTGTGGCTCAGATGATGGAGTACCTTCCTAGCAAGTGTGAAGTCATAAATTATAAATAAATATATATTTTTTCCCTTTAGGAGTATCTCCTGTTAGCACTTTATGTCACTGTGTCTTTATATAATTGCTCTGTAGAGTGGTAAACACCATCAGCTCTCAGGCAGACTTCAAGATGTGCGGCTCAGAAAGCAAACCCAAAAGACAGAGCTGGACGTTCTAGATAAGCAGTGTGACCTGGAAATTATGGAAATCAAGCAACTTCAACAGGAGCTTCAGGTAAGTCCTTTGCTGCTAAATTGTCCTTAAACACATATCATTACCAGCACTTCTTTCTGACAGAATACTTGTGCTTTGGGGATCATGTGTCCTTAAGCTTCTGAAAGACTTGTAATATAAATATCCACAGCCTATATGTAATACCAGAATCCATACACCTCCTGAAACTGCTATACATGTGGTTAAGTACTGCTTAACATTTTATAAATTGACTTTGATTACTTTGAGTTTGAACTCTTTTTTTTTTTTTTCCCCCCCGGTCGTGGGGCTTGAACTCTGGGCTTGGGTGCTGTCCTTGCACTCTTCAGTTCAAGGTGAGCATTCTCCCACTTGAGCTACAACACCACTTCTAGTTTTCTAGTGGTTTATTGGAGATCAGAGTCTCACAGACTTTCCTGCCCAGGCTGGCTTTGAACCGCGATCCTCAGATCTCAGCCTCCTGAGTAGCTAGGATTACAGGCGTGAACCACCGGCGCCCGGCTTGAGTTTGAACTCTTAAATAAAAATATTTATATATTTGTTTTAATCCATTTCTGCTGCTATCACACAATATGTTAGGCCATGTAATTTTGCAACAAATTTATTGCTTACAGTTCTGGAGGTGTAGGAATTTAAAGGTCAAGTCACTAACATTCATTATCTGGTGAGGATTTGCTTTCTGCTATGGAAGTGACATTTTTCTACACCCGTACATTCTGGAAGGGACAAAGTAGTTGCTTTCATTCTCTCTCTCTTGCTCGCTCTCTTTATTTAATTTTTTTTGCCAGTCCTGGGGCTTCAACTCAGGGCCTGAGCATTGTCTCTGAGCTTCTTTGTGCTCAAGGCTAGCATCCTATCACTTGAGCCGTAGTATCACTTCCTGCTTTTTCTGATAAGAGTATCTTTTCTGTCCAGGTTGGCTTCAAACCATGATCCTCAAATCTTAGCCTCCTGAGTATTTAGGATTACTGGTGTAGGCCACTAGCACCTGGCTTCATTATTTTTAATAAATACTTTTTTGTGTGCATGGTACTAGATTTGAACCCAGGGCTTTATGATGGCTAGGTAGGAACTCTACCACTTGAGCCACATGTCCTACTTTTATAAGAACACTAACCACATTCCTTAGAGAATAACCCCCATGATTTAATCACCACCTGAAGTCCTACTTCTTAATTCTATAGTATATATTACCTAACCCCTAGGTTACATATAGACATAGGAATTTTTGAGAGAGACCCCCACACACACACAAAAAAAAAATTCCATAGCATATATTACCAATATAGCTATTGGAAAAAAATAAAAACATTTTAAAAACACAATATGACTATTGATACTCACTTTAGTAAGTTTCAGAATTGTGATGAGAGAATGCTGGATAGTTCCTTAAAGACATGATGAGTCTGTTATTTAGGAATAGAGTCTGGTCAATGATTCTTGTTTGTAGAATAGTCATTCTAGAAGTGTTCCATATATCTGGAGTCCTCTTAGCCAGTTCTTGTTACTGTATGGACTGGTTATCAGTCCATAAAACATTTTCTTTGTGATTTAAACCTGATTGCCTATTTCTCCCTAAATTCTTAGTCCCTTTGTGGGGGGGTGGGGGGGGAGGGAGAAGGAGGGAGAGAGGGAGGGAGTGTGTGTGTGTGTGTGTGTGTGTGTGTGTGTGAAGGGAGAGAGGGAGGGAGTGTGTGTGTGTGTGTGTGTGTGTGTGTGTGTGTGTGTGAGAGAGAGAGAGAGAGAGAGGGGAGGGAGGGAGTGTGTGTGTGTGTGTGTGTGTGTGTGTGAGAGTGAGTGTGAGTCCTGGGGTTTGAACTCAGGGCCTGGGCACTGTCCCTGAGTTGTTTTTTTTATTTATTTATTTTTTTTTGGGGGGGGGGGGTCTGGTCATGGGGCCGAACTCTGGGCCTGGGCACTGTCCCTCAGCTCTTCAGCTCAAGGCTAGCGCTCTACCACTTGATCCACAACGCCACTTCTGGCTTTTTTCTTTTTGCTTATGTGGTGCTGAGGAATCGAACCCAGGGCCTCAGGCATGCAAGGCAAGTGCTCTACCACTGAGCCACCTTCCCAGCCCTGTCCCTGAGTTTTTTTTAACTCAAAGCTATTGCTTTATCACTTGAGCCCTAGCTCACTTCTAGTGTTTTGGTGGTTAATTGTAGAGTCTTGTGGACTTTCCTGCCAGGGCTGACTTCAAACCACAATCTTCAGATCTCAGTATCCAGAGTAGCTAGATTACAGACATAAACCACCAACCAGTACCTGATTTTTCATCCCTTTTTAATACATGTTTGCCTTTTGAATTGTATGAACCGCTTAGATTCCTGTTCCCCTTTGTTCACAGTTATCCATTGGAATGTGAAAAATTATGTGCTTGTAGATACTCCTCAATGATGAAGATTTTCTTTTGTGCCTTTAGTTTTCAGCCAATTGTTCATAAATTGATGTTATTTTCTTTTTAAATCCTACATAGTTCCATTCTAGTTTATTCATAACTTAAAAGCATTTTACAACTGCATGTTATTCCTGTACTAAGTTTCAAAGGTGATTAAATCATATTTTAAAGTTTTCAAAACATTTTTGGAGGGGGGAGGATGGGAAGGGATGGGAAGGGGAAACAAAGGAGGAGGCTACAATGCTTGATAAGAAATGTATTCATTATCTTGCCCATGTAATTGTAACCCCTCTGTACAGTATTTTCACAATTAAAAAAAAAAACAGTATTGGGGCTGGGAAGGTGGCTCAGTGGTAGAGTGCTTGCCTTGCATGCCTGAGGCCCTGGGTTCGATTCCTCAGCACCACATAAGCAAAAAGAAAAAAGCCGGAAGTGGCGCTGTGGCTCAAGTGGTAGAGTGCTAGCCTTGAGCTGAAGAGCTGAGGGACAGCGCCCAGGCCCAGAGTTCAGTCCCCACGACCAGACCCAAAAAAAAAAACATTTTTGGATATTACAGAGTTTTAATCAGGTTCTGCTTTTGCTTTTATAAGGAATATCAAAATAAGCTTATCTATCTGGTACCTGAGAAGCAACTACTAAATGAAAGAATTAAAAACATGCAGTTCAACAATACACCAGGTAAGTTCCTTAAATTTTTGTTTTCTTCTTTTATTTTTTCTCCACAACTGTCAAGTCATATTCTACTAGGTTTTAAAAGGAGCATTCTATTCAAAATAATATTTTTGTATATAAATTTAAAATTTCAGAAAAATCTTGAAAAATACAGGTAAAGCAGGACTGGCAAAAAAAAAAAAAAATCAAGAGAGTCCCATGGACTTTCCTGTCTGGACTGGCTTTGAACCGTGGACTGTGATCCTCAGATCTCAACCTCCTGAGTAGCTAGGATTACAGGCATGAACCACCAGCACCCAGCTCTTTTGCACTTTTCTCTTTTGTTTTTTTTGGTCTAACACTTTGAGCTACAGCTCAACTTCTAGTTTTCTGGTGGTTAATTAGAGATAAGAGTCTCACAGACTTTTCTCCCTGGGCTGGTTTTTAACCACTGTCTTCAGATCTCAGCCTCCTGAGTAGCTAGAATTACAGTGTGAGGCACCAGTGCCTGGGTAAACTTTTTTTTTTTTCCCAGTCCTGGAGCTTGAACTCAGGGCATGGGCATTATCCCTGAGCTTCTCTGTGCTGAAGGCTAGTACTCTACCACTTGAGCCATAGTACCACTTCTGGCTTTTTCTGTTTATGTGGTATTGAGGAATAAAACCCAGGGCTTCATGCATGCTAGGCAAGCACTCTACACTAAGCCACATTCCCAGCACCTGACTAAACTTTTTCTCTAACTCTTCATTCACGCAAAGAATTTTACCAGCTTGCCCTGCTGATACCTGCTGATACCTGTGAGACAAATATTATAAGGCTGTTTATGGGAATGTAATATTTTTATTGGCTCAGGTCCCAAATTAGATAACTTTAAAGTGAAGCATACAGTAAAACAAAGAAGCCAGACAGATGAGAAACTAAAATATCACCTCTTTATTGATAAAACTGATAAACCAGTGCTTATTGTAGTGGTTTATCTGTGAGTAGTACACTTGTACTTATAAAATAATAAATGTATGTTTCTGTGGGCATATAACCGATCAGAGTCTGATGAACAAATGCAAGTATAATATTCAGAATGCACTATATGGAAAAGGAACTAATGCAACTTTTGGGCAGAGACAGGAGAGGGAAACTGAGGGAAAGTGAAGAAAGAATGACATCCAAAAAAGAAATGTACTCATTACCTGACTTAGGAAACGGTGGCCCCTCTGTACAACACCTTAGTAATAACAATAAAATTATAAGGTTAAAATTTAAAAAAAACTGGGCTTGGAATGTGGTTTAGGGCTAGAGTGCTTGCCTAGCATGCATGAAGCCCTGGGTTCGATTCCTCAGTACCACATAAACAGAAACTGGCAGTGTTGCTCAAGTAGCAGAGCACTAGCCTTGAGCACAGAGAGGTGTCGTGATAGAGCCCAGACCCTGAGTTCAAGCCCTGGGACCAGCATAAATAAATAAATAAAATTTAAAAACATGGCAAGAATCCAGATCTGTAGCTCAGTGACTGAATAGAACAGTTTGGCTCTTTCTTTCAGACCCTTTTGCTTCTCTCACTGCCTTCCTTCATTTTTTCTTTTTCTTTTTTTAAAATTCTTATTTTGTGCCAGCACTGGGGCTTGAACTCAGGCCCTGAGCACTGTCCTTTACCTTTTTTTTTGTTGGTCATGGGGCTTGAACTTTGGGCTTGGGCACTATCCCTGTGCTCTTCAGTTCAAGGCAAGCGCTCTACTGCCATAGCGCAATAGCGCCGCTTCCGGTTTTCTAGTGGTTTATTGGAGATAAGAGTCTCATGGACTTTCCTGCCAGGCTGACTTTGAACCACGATCCTCAGATCTCAGCCTCCTGAGTACCTAGGATTACAGGTGTGAGCCACCACTGCACGGCTTTCCTTTACCTTTTTTGTTCAAGGCTAACACTCTACCACTTGAGCCACAGCTCCACTTCCAGTTTTTGACTGGCAAATTGGAGATGAGAGTCTCACAGCGTTTTCTACCCAGGCTGGCTTCAAACCATGATCCTCAGATCTCAGCCTTCTGAGTAGCTAGGATTTCAGGTGTGAGCCACCAATGCCCAGCTGCCTGTGCTAACTTTGAAGATTATACTTATGTAATAGCACTCATACTTTCATCAATTCTGGGTCAACATAAAATATTCCCTCTTTCAGGAAGGGGAGAACTCGTGATTATAGTCTGATTATATGTTTTGGTTTGATTTGTACTTTGTGAATGAGACTGTTAGATCTTCGCACACTATGTCATTTAAGGCCCAGTGGCCTGCACAAGTAGCCTTCAGGGAGCTCATCCTGAACAGTGATGCTCAGGGCATTAGCAGGGAGGAAGGAAAACCAGTTAGATGACATGAGGGTTAGCACTCTGGGGGATTTTTAGCCTAATTTTACTTTTGCTAGCTATTTGAGATCACATAACATATTGGGAAAAGAAGACAAAAGTTTGTCTTGAGCTCCTTCATGTTTTTGACCAAAGGATGGTTTTTGAAGGTGCTAGAGATCAGTTTAGATCTGCCCAAGGGCTGAAGCAAGGCCCAAGGATACAGCTGCTGCGTGTCTAGTGCTATGTTTCTACAAGACACTATCATCTACATGTGTGTGGGAGGAGAGTGGGAGGGTGTCCCATTTCAGTTTTAAGTATTTCTATTTTAAGGGGAAAAAATCTTGGCAAGATAATTCACCTGGAAGAGCCAGGTGTGATGGCATACACTTGTATTACTGTCACTCAGTAGGTAGAAACAGAAGGATCTTGAGTTCCAAGCTAGCTTGGATGACAGAGCAAGACCCTGTCTCAAAAAAAAAAACAAAACAGAAACCCCTCAAAGTGATAACTTTTCTCATAATGAAAAACATGAACAACAAGAAAATTGAAAAACATACAAGAATTTGGATTCTGGGCTGGGAGGTGGCTCAGTGGTAGAGCGCTTGCCTTGCATGCATGAAGCCCTGGGTTCGATTCCTCAGCACTACATAAGCAAAAAGAAAAAAACCGGAAGTGGCTCTGTGGCTCAAGTGGTAGAGCGCTAGCCTTGAGCTGAAGAGCTGAGGGACAGTGCCCAGGCCCAGAGTTCAGGCCCCATGACTGGACCTCCCCCCCCCAAAAAAAAAAAAAAAAAAGAATTTGGATTCTGTGAATCAGAAGTGAAAATAGCCCAACTGAAAACGGTTAATAGAGAAAGGTTAAAAATCAGTTAATATAAGACTATGGGGGGCATTGGGAATGTGGCTTAGTGGTAGAGTGCTTGCTTAGCATGCAGGAAGCCCTGGGTTTGATTCCTCACTACCACATAAACATAGAAAGCTGAAAGTGTCACTGTGGCTCACGTGGTAGAGTGCTAGCCTTGAGCAAAAGAAGCTCCGGAACAGTGCCCAGGCTCTGAGTTCAGGCCCCAGGACTGGGGGGGAAAAAAGGACTATGGCTGGTTAACATTAGTAGATGTTTATTCAGCTTCACTAATTAACAAGAAAGTATAAATTAAAATAATACAATTTCTTTTTTGCTAGAAAAAATGAAAAGATTGACAATACCCAATGTAATGTGACCATACAGTACTTACATATTAAGTTCTATTTGTATCTTAAACCGAAACAACTTTTTGGAAGGTTAGTTTCTGTCGAAACATCATGTTCATATACATGACATTAAGAGAATGAAAGATAAAAACCTACAGTCATTGCAATAGATATAGAATAAGCATTTGACAAAGTTCAGTATCCTCTCATGCTAGAATCTCTTTACAAAATAGGCAGAGAAAGAAAACCTCATAGCTAACATCTTAACCAGTATGGAAAAACAGAAAGCTTTTCATCCAAGATCCAATACAAGGCAAGAATGCCCATTCTTGATATGTCTATTGAATATAAGTATTAAAAGCACTAGAAGAGCAGTCAGACAAGAGAAAGGAATAAAGGCATCCAAGTCAGAAAAGAAGTAAAAGTACCCAGGTTTGCAGACGCATGATTCTATAGGTAGGAAAGACTGAAGACTCCACAAGGAAACAGAACCAATAAACGGGTTGAATGAAGTCACAGGATACAAGTGAACATTGAAAAATCAGTAGCATTTATGACACAATCCAATTTATGTTCGAATAAAAAATACTTAGAAAAATGAGGGAAGAGGTAACAAGTTTGACAAAAAATGTACTTATTACCTTACGTGACTGTAACCCCTGTATATCACCTTGACAACAAAAAAAAAATCTTAAAAAAATACCTAGAAATAAATTTAACTAAAGAGATGAAAGATCTGTACTCTGAAAATAATAAAGGATTCATAAAAGCAATTGAAAAAGGCAAATAAATGGAAAAATATATTCATGAAATAGAATTAATACTATTAAATGAAATGATAATACTGAGCTTGGGCTATAGGCTCAGTTAGAGAGCCCTTGCCTCGCATGTGTGAAGCCCTGAGTTCTACCCCCAGTACAGCCACAAAATATAAAAAGCCATACTGCCCCCAAAATAAATACTGTGTGATCTTACATGTGGAATCTAAAAAAATTGAACTTGGAAAACAATAGGTTGGTGGTTACCAGGGGTTAGAAAGTTAGGGGAGATGTTGATCAGTAGGTATGTACTTAGAGTTAAAGATGAATAAGTTCTGAAGACTTAATGTGCATCATAGTGATGTATACTTGAAAGTTGCTAAGATTTTAGATGCTCTTTGCACAAAAAGAAAAGGTAAGTATATGAGGTAACGAATAAATTTGCTTCACTAGAGTAATAATTTCATTATCAAAGCATCATGTTCTACATCTTAAATATAGACAGTAATTTTTTATGCCTGTAGCAAGGTATGAATTGAAATACTCTTTTGCCTGAGCCATACCTCAGTCCAACTTTTAGCTAGTTATATTGAAGATGAACTCTGGTGAACTTATCTGCCTAAGCTGGTTCCAACAATCTGTCCTCCAGATCTCAGCTTCCTGAGTAGCTAGCATTACAGGTGTGTGCCACCAGTACCCAGCAACAATAGCTTCTTTAAAATTAAATGTTTTGCCAGGCATCAGTGGCTCATGCCTGTAATCCTAACTACTCAGGAGGCAGAGATCTGAGGATCACAGTTCAAAGCCAGCCCAGGGAGGAAAGTCCAAATACTCTTATCTCCAATTAACCACCAGAAAACCAAAAGTGGCATTGTGGCTCAAACGGTAGAGTGCTTGTCTTGAGCTTAAGAGCTGAGAGAGAGTACACAGGCCCAGAGTTTAGGCCCCACGCTGACCCTCCCCCCCCAAAAAAAAGCACTTAGTAATACTATTTTAATAACTCATGACCTTAATTGAATATTTACTATGGGCTAGGCTTTATACTAAGGCTTTATATTCATCACCATATTTAGTAAGATAGATCGTATGATATCTACTGTAAGAGATGAAGAACCTGAAGACTAGATTGGTGAAGCACTTTATTTAATGTACGATTTTGTTTCAGATTCTGACTCTTTAGAGCGCAGAATCAGTGCTTAAAAAAGCATTACCTTCGATATTCCCAGGATATGATCTAGAAAAGAAAAAGACTATTAGATTTTTTTCCCCTCTATTCTTCCACATATATGTTATGTCCTTTGCCTTTCTGTAGTTACACTAATTTGACCAGGCAAGAATGACAGATGGTAATGATATAGGAACTTCTGACATTTTGCATTTCAGATTCAGGGATCAGTTTACTTCATAAAAAATCATCAGAAAAGGAAGAATTATGCCAAAGACTTAAAGAACAACTAGATGCTCTTGAAAAAGAAACTGCATCTAAACTCTCAGAAATGGATTCATTTAACAGTCAGCTGAAGGTACTTATCTTCTATTATATTCATTTCTAAGTAGCTACCTTCCTGCCTCTTATTTTGATTAAATAGATTGAATAAAGCTATTGTTATATATTTGACTTTTTATACCTTTTCTTGGCTTGTAACTTAAATTTCAACTCTACTAGAATTTCAAGATTGTTTTTAGTATTTTGTAAAACACTGTCAACCTTGTGTCACATAACTAAACATACTTTTTCTCACAGTTTTTGAGAATTAGTCCTATTTTAATTGGAATTTATATGAGAACAGTGTCCTTTATCAGTATTATCAAGCTGATGTCAGCCAACATGATCTCAGGCTATGTAATAAAATATGGAAAAATTTAAATAGTTTTGGTGGTAGAAATTCTTTTAATATGCTAAATAACTTTTTGTTTCTCTTACGATGCAATGCTAATTACCTTTATGAAAGAATGCAATAATCAGTGAAATCCAAAGCAGAATATGACACTACACTTTACTTGAAAAGTTAGGTTCATGTCTTACTGTTTGCTATACTGACAAAGCAGATGTCTGAAGCATACCACATGCTTATCATTGTGTGCAATTTTAGTTGTATACTGAAGCAGAATCTGTGAATGGATATAATAAAACCAGGTTAATGGCAAGTAATTCAAATTTGAGAATAGTCTTATACTTTTGTAAACTGCACATACAATTTCAGAGCATAAGATGTTAAATGGCATTTCTGTAAGAAAAGTGTTTCTTCATATGTTTTTAATCTTCTATCTTACTTAGAATAAGATTAATACTAGTAATGAACATTATACTAGTAAGGAACAAATAAGGAACATTATAAAGAAAGGACTAGGATGGCTTCTGTTAAAGACCGGACATTGAAGGGAATAATGTTAATCATATACCTTATAGAAGTATATTTCCTGTAGAGAAACAATTTAAAATAAGCAAAATCATTTGTTATCAATGATCAAACAAGCCAGCCAAATTATCTTCCTTAACATTATTTTTTTATTTGTACATAGTTTAACTGGCTTTTTATCTGCCTTATCTTACAGTGTGGGAATATGGATGACTCTGTTCTTCAGTGCCTTTTGTCTCTGCTAAGCTGTCTCAACCACCTCTTCCTCTTACTTAAGGTTATTTTCTAATGTCTAGCTTCTTTTTTGAGTTACTTTATGATTTTCTTTTTTTTTTAACTAGACTATTCTTTGCCTTTATCTGAGTATTTTTGTTTGAAATAACAAATATAATAAAGACCTTTTTTTCTTCTGCTTGTTCTAATATTCTTCTGCTGTCTAATTGCCTGTTAAGTCTAATGCTAGAAATCTAGAAATCAGGAAGGTTGCCTTTCTCATAAGCCCATTTGTTTCCCTTACATCATCCCTGAGAATCGGGTTAACCAATGGGATGATTACAAATGCATTTCAAAGAAAAACTGAAACAATGTGAAGTTAAATCATTTACCCCTAACACTAAAAACCATTGCTTAAAGTTATACTTTCTAAAATCTAAGACAAAGTTATGTTATATTCATATGTGCACCAGGCTGCATCCTAATTCTACCATAAGGAAAAGTTGAACCAGTAATACAGGGGCAGCTTTAATTAGATCTGTTTACCAGGGCTCACTTTTAAATATGCATGCACTTCAGGTAAAAATATTTAAATTATTTGGTTAAACCATTTGGACTGTCATGTATAACACACATATTTAAAATATTCATATTTTAGGAAGGTGCTTTGTATTAACCACTTGTTTAGTAGATTTTGATTACACATTCTACTCAGTACTAAAATGGGCAGATGCATACATATTCCATAGTAAAGATAGGAATATTCTAATTTGTTACCTAAGCAAAAGTAGGCAGATTAAAAAGATAGAAGTAACATAGTTGCCATGTATAAGCCTTTATGATTATAGTGTGACTGGCCAGATTATGTAGTCTTAGAGCTTCTGATACAAAATGCACGAAAACTTAAACCCAAAATTTTATGTCTGTGAAATGAATTTCAATAATGAATTGTGGACTCTACTGGTTATTCCAGTTAATATTTGGTTTTCTGCAGGCCAGCAGACTATTCTCTTATTTTACTTTGTTCCCTCTGCTTTTGCTTCCTAATCTTTCATGCTTATTGATTCTTCCATCAAAAGCAATGTAGGAAAGTAAAAGAGTGTGAATTATGACTATCAGAGTAGTTAGGAGACTTGACCTTGTCACAAAAAGCAAGAAAAAAGGACTTCTATAGTCATGATAGTAAAATGTGGTACAGTGAGCAGTTATCATAGTATTGAAAAATATCAATTAACTTTAGTCAACAAGAAGTCTTTTGAAGCCCTTTTGTGACCTTCAATTGTGTAGTAAGCAGTGTATCAAGAATGGGATTTAGGAAGGGTGGGAAGAAAGCATGAGCTTGAAGGAAAAAAAAAATTTGAGTGGGGCTTAAGAAAATCTTGACAAAAACTAAGTAAAAAGGAAAGGAGAAAAGAGAGAAGAGATGGAGATTGGATATAAAAAATGGTGTTCATTGACAGAGTACAGTTCTTGGAGAGGCAGAACCCAGAGCATAGGTTAAAGGATTAAATGGGGGAAAATAAAAGAATACTTGTAACTTGGGGAAAGGTGGATGCACTTAAATCTTTAGAAAGTAAGAAGTCAACTGCTGCAAGTCTTAAAATTGTAAGTAAATGAACTATCAGAAAGAACCTTCCTGCTAGGTTAGAACATAGAACAACTTACTTGAGACAGAAGAGGTGTGCAGATACAAGAAGTTTTACTGGTGAAAAGATGAAAAGATTAGGGAGTACCAGGGATGAATGAATTAATGAAGCAAGATTTTTAGCTGTAAAAAGAAGAATGGATGGAATATTAGGTGGTTTCAGGAGAGAGAAGTAGGCATGTTGGAGGTGTTGGGGTGCATGCATGGTAGAGGAAACCAGTAACTATTTGAGCAATGTTGGGTGCTTATTTGAGGTTAGAGGTCAGGAGTTTAAATTGAAGACTGTGTGCCTAATTATATGATTTTCTTTCCCAATAATATTTAGCTGTTCAGATATAAGCACATAAAAAGGTTGGTGAAATAGATTGATGGGTTCATATAGATTCAGAGTTTTAGGAGACATGGGCCAAGAAAAAGGAACAAAGATGTTAAAGATTTAACATAAGAACTATAATAAAAATGAAGTTAGTATTTACTAGACATGAAAGGATACGAGGAGAGGAAATGATGATAAAGAGAAGGGCCAACAGAATGGAAATCTCAGTGAGAAATAATACTTAAAATGACTGTACCAGATATAAGAAAAGCTTTAGGGCTTTTTCAGTTAGTTTTTGTTGCTGTTGTTGTTGTTGATCATCTATGAAGATGTCACAGACATAAAGAATAGTGAAGATGAAGAAATGAGGATCAGGACCTAAGAGACCTAAGTGGTTAATAAATGCCAATGAAATGGGAGGAGACTAGTATTGCTGGGTAGTTTAAGCCTCAGAAAAACATATTGTACTTGTGAGGGGAAATAATACTTTGGAAATGGCAAAGAAGAGCAGGGAAAAATACTGTAATTGTTCCCTTACCTAATATAAATGAGTTTGTAATGATAAACTGAGAGAAAACTAGAAAAGCAGAAACCTTACAGATCAACCAAAAGGGTAAGAAGGTAAGAGAATTAACATTCAGAGAAGATAAGTGGATATGTAGTTTCCTGATGAGTAAGAAGAGGTACCAGGAGTGTAGAGGAATTTAAGGAAAAGATGAGTGAAGAATTACTGGGTCAGATCAAGAAATAAACAGAGATAAGAATTTAGGTGATAGAGAATGATGTGAAAGGCTAGATTGATTAGTAGGTGAGATAGAATTGGTCCTGAGGGTCTTGAATGAGATCAGGAGCTTTGTTCCAATGTTGTGGTTCAATGGCACAATAGTATATCTGATAGGAGTACTCCTTTAGGCTACTTATGGTAACAGTAGTAGTAAAACATTTAAAATTAGTTCTTAAGAAGTTATCTTTTATTAGATTGTCTAATACACATATACAAAATTGGTGACAATTTTTACTCTTTTAGTCAAGTCATACTAAGATAAATATCAAAGCCAGTAAGTTCAAAATTAAGACATTGAACAGGCTATTCTTCATTAAGCATATTTATAGATTATTCCATCTTTAGCAGTGAAGTGCAATGAAAAGTATTCTGTGCCACTCGTCAGTTGTATAACTGCTTGTCATTAACCTCTCTAGTTGTGCAGCTATTTATCATTGCTTTTTCATATTATAAGCAAAGTATATGCGGTCTTCTTTTGAGCGTTATGATTAAATCAAATAGTGTGCATATACACATATGCACACACAGAAGTGCTTTGTGAACTCTCATGTACAATAGAAATACTTTACCTTTTTTTTTTTTTTTTGGTCAGTTGTGGGACTTGAACTCCGGGCCTGGGCACTGTCCCTCAGCTTTTCAGCTCAAGGCTAGCACTCTACTACTTGAGCCACAGCGCCACTTCTGGTTTTCTAGTGTTTATTGGAGATGAGTCTCACGGACTTTCCTGCCCGGGATGGCTTTGAACTTCGATCCTCAGATCTCAGCCTCCTGAGTAGCTAGGATTACAGGCGTGAGCCACCAGTGCCTGGCTTTGAAATACCTTTAGTGAATTAGAAAATCACTATGGACTTGAGTAATAACTGAGGGAGTACTTTTCTGTAAAGGCAAAGCAGAATCTGTCAACCCCACAGCTGTGGCTTCCTCAAGGGTGTTAGGTCTTATCCTGTGCTTCCAAGGATTAGAGATAAACTATTTACAGATTCACCTCCAGATGACTAGGGGAGATTTTTTTTCTTTTATAATCCTCTAACTTATTTATTTTTATTAGCATACATTAGTTACACAAGGAAGATGTACAAGTTCTACTTGTATCCTGATCAACCTCATTCCTCTCTCCTCCACTTCACCCCCCCTTATTAAAACAATTTCAGCAGGTTTTATTGTTCTATTTTCATGCATGCAAATTTTAAACTACATTGACCATA